AGTACAACTCCTATGGAAAACAGTATGGGGATTTCTCAAAGAACTAAAAGTAGACCTACCATGCAATCCAGCAATCCTATGGAAAAGGAGTCATTTTATCAAAAAGACACCTGCACTCAAATGTTTATTCCAGCACAATTAACAATTGAAAAGATCTGGAATCAACCTAGGTGCCCATCAATTCATGGGTGGATTAACAAAATGTGGTATAGGTATATTGTGCAGTACTACTTAACCATAAAAAAAGATGAATTAATGCCTTTTGCAGCAATTTGGAAGAAATTGGAGATCATTATCCTAAGCGAAGTCTCTCAAGAATGGAAAAACAAACACCATATATACTCTCTAATAAATTGGAACTAAAAGGGAAATAAAAGTAATTGAAAATCAAATGGGGTGGGGGGGAAGAAGAGGGGCGGGAGCGGGGAAATCCCACCTAAGGGGTTTACAATGAACACTCTTAGGTGGTGGGCTCAATTATAGCCCTGACTCATGATGTAACAAAAACATTTATACCCCCTTAGTATTTTGAAATTTTAAAAAAAGACTCAAATTACTAAAAGTAGAGATGAAAGTGCAATCATACCACTTTCATCTACCAACCTTACAGAAATAAAAAGGATTATGAGGGAACACTATGAACAATTGTATGTCAACAAATTAGATAAAATGGATAAATTCTTGGAATGCAAATTGTATGTGAAGAAAAGATGAGAGTTGGTTGGGAAAGGCCTGGATAAACCACTGAAAGTGAGATAAAATCATAAATAGATTAGTGAAGACTTACGGTGTGGGAGACAAATAGGATTGATCCAAATTCTCAATTCTCTAATCTAGCATTTATAGCTCTCCCACACTACAACCCCTCAATCTTCATTCAAATCTTCTACAGAAATTTAAACCCCATACCAGATGTTTAAGTGGAATCTCTTCAGTAATAGCAGCATAATCTCCTCACACACTGACCCCACTACTCCTGATTACCAAATTTTTGACCTCTGCTCAAAATACAAAAAAGAAAAGAAAGAAAACTACTTATACTCTCTGGCACTAGAGCGTAAGCAAAAACAGTGAGACTCTAGAGGGGCGATGACATTTGGAAGAAGGGTACAGCATTGGATGAGTGTCCCCATTTTCACAGATTCTAGCATAAGGGTAAGCTCTAGTCTGCATTGTGAGAAGTGGTTAGAATTCTAGTAGATCAAAGTTTTTCTGGCCTAAAGAACTAAAGGACAGAATTTGGGACAATCACACATGCTGGAAAGTATGGGGGAGATACCATAAATGAGAAAGAGGAAGGAGCTCCAAATTTTACCTATAAAATTACGTATAAAATCTACCCAGTCTTTTACTGACCACTAAATTATGCATGTGGAATAAATTCTAAGTAGCCCAGTTAAGACCTGAGCTACTACTTGAGTTGCTTCCCAAGAGACAGAGCTTACAGTTTGAGTCTGAAAAAGTTAAGTGACTCCTAAAACAAAATCAATGTTCTTTGATGGAACATAAAAGAATCCAGTTTCTGCAAAATACCATACTCAAAAAATGACATTAAAGCATCATATTCAAAGCTCTTAATTAAAAAACAGGAAAACACACCCATTTTCAAGAGAAAAGACAACCAACAAAGAGAACAATTCCAAGATGCCCAGATGTTTGAATTAGTAGACACTGATTTTAAAGCAGCTATTAAACTAAGTTAAGGATATTAAGGGAAATAAGATCACAATTAGTTAAAAAGTAGAAAATATTAGCAGAGGACTAAAACCACTGACGTATACATGCATACCAAAAAAATTCAATATATTAAATAAAAAATCCACTGTATAGGCTTAACAGCAGAATGCAAACAGAAAAGAATCAGTAAACTTGCAGAAAAATCAATAGAAATTATTCAATCTGAACAACAGAGAAGGAGGTGGTTGGGGAAAAAAGCTTCAGGGACAGTATCAAAAGTTCTAACATAAATACTACTGTTGTCCTAGAAGGTAAAGAGAGTGATAATATTTGAAGAAATAAAAGCTGGGAAATTCCCTGAATTTTGTGAAAAATCATAAAATTTCAGATTCACGAAGGTCCGGGAAACATATTAAGGTTAATAGGAGGAAAATAATTTTGAGTGCCAGAATTCTTCTCTACTCATTTCCTTCCTTTATCAAAACCCACCTGTTTAATGGTAATTTTTGTTGAATTATGCAGGCATAGAGCTTTTAACAACTAATATTTATTGCTATTTAAGTTTAGTTAGACATCCTAATCTTCTAGGAGTGAAAAGGATACATAGTCTCTGCTAAAAAGGAACTTATATTCAAGTAGGGGAGAAAAACAATAATAATAACACATAAATATTTTATTTAATGATTAGTTATTATGATAAGTTCTATTACATAAATAAACTAGGTGCCATGTATAATGGGGTGAGGGTACTACTTTAGATCAAAAGGTCAGAAAAGGATACTGGAGTAGTCTAGATGAAAGATGATAGCTACTGAAGTACATTAGTGAGAGTGAGGAAGTGATAAGTGAGCATATTCAAGACACAAAGATATTGAGGTAGAATTGACAGATCTTACTAACTGAATGTGGGAATTATGGATATTGAGGAATAAAGAATGGGATTCCCAGGTTCAGAACTTGCATGTGTGTATAAATGGTAGTAGATTGAAAAAGAAGAGGGAAAACAAGTTGGAAGGAGAGCTTGAGAGGATGAATTCAGTACTGGAAATGCTGAGTAAAGAGTATCTGTAAAATATTGGATTGGAGATATTCAGTGGGCTATTGTGTAGATAGATCTGAGCTCAAGAGCACTCTACATTTGAGAGTTATCAATATACAAATGGTATTTGTGACTTTCTTTAGAGAACTGGGATAGCTATTTTTATTTGCCCAGTAAAAATTTTCCTTTTTCCTAACAATAGACCCTACTACCTTGGCCTGATCCAGGCCTAGACAATCATCCTACATCATCCTCTCATATGGGGAACATGACTCAGTGAAAATTGAAGTCTTTCCCCAGAGTTAGCATGTAGACATGAAGAGAAAGAAACTCTCTTCCTGAAGTTGCTTATTAGTTCATACGATGCTAAGCTAGATGCATGTGATCATGGGGTTGATGGTAGTCATCATTTCCACTGCCTCAGAAAGAGAACATATCTTTAGAACAAAGACATCTCTGCTGAATGTATGCAGAGAGTGCCTAGATTAGTGGCACTAAGTCTAGGACTGAGGTCTTGGTTCCTGTAACTCTGATCTTGTTTCTGTATTTTTCCAATATACATGAACCAGTAAATCTCCCCTCCACTTTTTTTTCCTTGAAGCTAGCTAAATAAATTCTGCTACTGATCTTCTGGTTGACTTTGATAAATAAATAAATAAAAAATAAAGAAGTAAATACATTTTGCCACTGAAAATTTTTTACTAATACATTTATCCACTGAGACAAGATTAAAATCATTCAAGACAAAGAAAGGATAGGGGCAGGAATTGAGAACAAGTCCCAAGAAACCCCAACATTTAAGGAATAGGTAGAGAAGGGAATCTGAAAAAAAGACTGAGAAGAAATTGGTCATAGAGGTAAAAGGAAAGCCAGGAAAGGAGTAAATTTTTATATTTTTTAATGGAAAATTTTATGTATATACAAAAATAAGGAATACTGTATAATGAACCCCCATGTATCCATCACTTATAAAAGTAATCAGCACAAGGCCAAATCTTGTTTCATCTATAAGCACATCCCAGTGTGTATTAATATGTTTTTTAGAGATGGGGTCTTTGCTGTGTTGCCTAGGCTGGCCTTGAACTCTCGAGCTCAAGCAATCCTCTTGCCTTAGCTTCCTAAGTAACTAGGATTATAGGTATACGCCACCATTCCTGGCAACCTGGTGTCTACTTCTAAAAGATAAAGATTCCTTTAAAATATTAAGACCAGGTTGGGCATGGTGGCTCATGCCTGTAATTCTAACACTTTGAGAAGCTGGAGTGGGAGGATCACTTAAGCCCAGAAGTTTGAGGTTGCAGTGAACTATAATGATGCCATTGCACTCTAGCCCAGGCAACAGAATAAGACCATGTCTTAAAAAAAACCAAAAAGTTATAACCACAGCATTGTTATAAAATCAAAAACATTAATATTTGCATAATATCATTTAGTATCATCAGTTTACAAATTGAATTGTATTATACTTTTTTGTGCAGTTGGTTTGTTTAAGCTGGGACTCAAACAATATCCACACATTGCATTTGGTTATGTTTCTTTTCTTTTTTTTTATTTCAGAATATTATGGAGGTACAAACATTTTGGTTATATGTAATGCCTTTGCCTTGCCTAAGCCAGGGCTACAAGCTTGCCCTTCCCCCATACGGTGCACTCTACATCCATTAGTTGTGAGTTTACATACCCCTACCTCCCCTTCCCACCTGACCAGTACCCACTGAATATTACTTCCATGTGAGCACCTTAGTGTTGATCAGTTAGTACCAATTTGATGATGAGTACATGTGGTGCTTGTTTTCCCGTTCTGTGATACCTCACTTCCAAGGATGGGCTCCAGCTCTGTCCAGGATAATATAAGAATTCACCATTTTTTTTGTGGCTGCATAGTATTCCATGGTATACATATACCACATTTCATTAATCCATTCATGTATTGATGGGCACTTGGGTTATTTCCACATCTTTGCAATTGTGAATTGTGCTGCCATAAACATTCAAGTGCAGATGTCTTTATTATAGAACGTCTTTTTTTCCTTTGGGTAGGTGCCTAATAGTGGGATTGCTGGATCAATAGCCATTATTTTGGGGGTTTTGCTACATGTCTCTAAAGAAGAACAGGGTTTTGATTTTCTTCATGATATTTTTAGTTGGCTCCATAATGAAATAGGTTTTTTTGTTGTTGTTCTGTCATACAAATTCTCTTTTGATTGTAATCCTTGCATACATTATATTTCTACCATTCGAATTATTGATGTTACATATCTCTTATTGTTTTATTTCTTCCAAGAAAACCAAAATCATGATATTCCAACAACTAGAGATGATCCAACAAAGCTGCAAATGTGTCTTCCATTGCTAGTGCACTGCTGCTAAAGTTATTACAATACCGAGCAGCCTCCACCTTAGGTTCAGAGACTATCACTGAAGAGGAGAGCAGGTGAGATTTTAAGAGCTGAATTGGGGGTGAAGTATAGAAGATACTAATCCACTATGCTGATTTCTGAATGACCCCGGTTCTGGGAATGCCTCTAAGAGTTCTACTTTTATGTATTTAGCATAAATCCTGCCCTTTGGCAAATTTTTGCCTTTCCCTGAGGGATCAACTTTAATTGTCATACAAATTTCCTTCCCTGCGGTATGTAAACCCTGGGTCTGGGGGTAAGAGTGCCAGGATGCACCATTTCACCTCTCTGCCACCCAGGACACAGCTTGTGTTCATAGGTTCCTATTAAATGTTTCTTTCTGGGAAAAAAATTAAATTAAATTTTTAAAAGTATACATTGAAAGAAATACACAATTAAAATACACAATTGAAAGAAAGAAAGAATAATATTTCTATTTCACTCTTAAATAACCATAGTTGCTTACTAATGGGATGTGTATACCTGTTGAGCACTGCATCACTTCTCAAACCTTGAAATCAGATGGGACGCCGCTATCTTTCCTATTCCACATTGCATTTTGCCCAGCAGTTGCTTGAGGTCATAGCAACCACTGAAAACTGGGCTGGAAGATATATTATAAAAAAGAATATAATTTGATCTAATGTTGAAACTTTGAATTATCTCAAACTAGTGGATAGTTCACACGGTGTCTGACAGATGTCACTGTGCTTTCCTCAAAAACTTAAAATACCGTATGGTGTCCCTGTGAGTTTGCTATGGTGTCCTCCATTTTAGGAGCTGGAGAACATCTAGCCATTATTTTTCTGGAATACAGCAAGGATTGGCAAGCGTTTTCTGTAAAAAGCATTTGCCCAATAGCAAATGTTTTAGGCTTAGTGGCCATATGGTCTCTGTCAAAACTACTCAATTCTGCCTTTATAATGTAAATCCAGCCAACATAGACAATATATAAACAAATGGGGTGACTGTTGCTATGGTTTGAATGTGTGTCTCCTCCAAGATTCATTTTGAAACTTAATTGTCGTTGTGACATTAAGAAGTGGGACCTTTCTGAGAAGTCATTGGAGTAGGGCTCTGATCAAAGTGCTTGAGAGTGAGTTTGCCCTCTTCTGCTCTTCAACCGTGTGAGGACACAGCATTCCTCCTCTCCAGAGGATGCAGCAGTGAGGCTTGTAATTGAAGACTGGACTCTTTCTAGATACCAAACCTGCTGGCACCTTGATCTTGGAGACCCAGCCTCTAGAAATGTGAGAAATAAGTTTATGTTATTTATGAATTACCCAGCCTCAGGTATTTTATTATAGTAAGCACAAATGGACTAAGACAACTGTATTCCAGCCAATTTATAGAAACAGGTGTAGGGCTGGACTTATCCTGAGGGCCTTAATTTCCTGACCCCTAGTTTGTAGGATAGAGTGGAGATTTTCATTTATTAGCTGAATTTTCCTTCAACAATTTACTCCAAGGTAAAGTGTTTTTAGGAAATGCAGTATAAACACTTCTCTTGGTCAGTTTTCCAAATGCATTGGTTCTCTAGCATCTTGCAAAGGTGGCTAATGAGGTTTTTTGGTTTTGACATTCGCGTTTTTTTTTTTTTTTTTGGTATCATTAAGATATGAAGCTATGGAATTCCCAAATACCCTTCATTCAGAGTTACCAGGTGTTAACATTTTGCCATATTTGTTTTACCATTCTCTCCCTCTTCCCTTCTCTCCTGGTGCTGTCACACTTTCTCTTTCTCTCCCCTCCCACACACATTTTTCCCTAAACCACTTGAGATTAAGTTGCAGACAATATTTCTCTGCCCCCAAGGTTCCTTGGTGTATATTTCCTAAGAATGGGGATGTTCACAGTACAATTATGAAAATTAGATCAGTTTTTATTAATATAATGCTCTTGTTTAATCTACAGGACTTACTCAAATTTTTGTAATTTTTCTAATAGTGTCCTGTATAGCAATTTTTTTTCTGATCCAGAATCTAACACAGGATTAATCATATATTGCATTTAGTCTCTATGTCTCTTTAGGCTCCTTTAATTCAGAATGATTCCTTAGCCATTCTTTCTCTTTCATAACATTGACATTTTTGAAGAGTATAGGGCATTTAGTAGAATGTGCCTCAATTTGAATTCATCTGAAATTTTCTTATAAATAGATTCCAGTTGAGCATTTTTGGCAGAAATAGCAGGTGACTATTGTAATGTCTTTCTCACTGCATCCCACCAGGAGGCACAATGATGTCAACTGGGGCATATTGGTCATCATTAATAGCTACTCTCCAAGTTCTTCAGTAAACCATGTCTCCAGTTTCCATGGCCTTATGTAGTTCCTTGTTCTTGAATCTGGACTAGCCTCATGACTTTCTTGAAATGTGACAAATGTGAGTCTGTGTTACTTCTTACACTAGATCTGAAGAAGCTTGCAGCTTCTGCCTTGGTCTTTTGGAATGTTGTCCATGGAATGTTTGTTTGGTTGGAACGCTCAATCTAGGGGTAGGCAACCACCCTGAGAAGTCTGACAGAGACCACCAACCTGTGAGGAAGACCAGCTAGCCACTTGGAGAGAGATGTCTGGCGAGCACCCAACTATTCCTGACATCCTAACCACCAGATGTCTGAGTAAAGGAGCCATCTTGGATGTTTAAGCAAATCGATATTGAACCTTCAAATGAATCAAGTCCCAGCCGACATCCGATTGTTACTGCATGAGAGATCCCAACTAAGCCCCCTTAATCCACAGAACCATGAAAGATAATAAATTGTTTTAAGCCACCAAATTTTAGAGCAGTGTGTATGTAGCAATAGATCACCAAAATAGTACTGTTAACTTTGATCACTTGGTTAAGATAGTGTCTGTCAGGTTGTTCCATTCTACAGTTGTTATGTTTTCTTTTTAATTGCCAAAAAATTTGTGGGGAGACACTTTAAGACCTTATTAATGTCATTTTTTTCATTAAACTTTCAGCTGCTAGTTTTAGTATGCCAGAATGGAATATTACTATGATAGTTTCAACATGGTGGCTAAAGAAACCCCTTGGCTGGGCGTGATGGCTCATACCTGTAATCCTAGCACTTTCGGAGGCTGAGGCAGATCATTTGAGGCCTGCAGTTTGAGGCCAGCCTGAGCAAGAGCAAGATCTTTTCTTTACAAAAAAATAGAAAATTAGCTGGGTGTGGTGGTGTGTGCCTGTAGTCCCAGCTACTTGAGAGGCTGAGGCAGGCGGTTAGCTCGAGCCTAGAAGTTTGAGGTTGCAGTGAGCTATGATGACACCACCTCCTGGGCATGCTAGCCCAGGAGACAGAACAAAAGCCTGTCTCAAAAACTAAACAAACCTCTCTATTAATTCTTCTACACTTATTAGTTAGCATTCTGCTATAAGGAAATTTTTCTTCTTTTTAATTTACTTATTATCAACATCTATCATGGGTTCTTATTTTATTCAATAAGTTTTAATTTGTTAGTATTGTTGTTTACTTTGATGATCAGATTGTCCAGATTTGGCCAATGGGAGCCCATTTCAGTTGGCTTCTTGTGCTTTGGTAGGTTTTGAAAGGTTCCTTGCTTTTTGCCAAGGAGGTTGGTTTCTTATAGTGGAAAATAGTATTTAGAGAACATAATATATATGCTAGCATGCTTATTGCTAATGAGTTGCTAATTGTTTCTAGGCTTTATTGATAGACAGATGGGAATTTTTTTTTAGGAGATGAGTTCATACTGATATATCCAGTTCAAATTTAAGAGTACAGGGTATATATATATATATGTATATATTTTTTTTTTTGAGACAGGGTCTTGCTTTGTTGCCTAGGCTAGAGTACAGTGACATCATCATATCTCACTGTAATCTCCAGCTCCTGGGATCAAGCTTCCTGCCTCAGTCTCCCAAGTAGCTATGACTACAGATGTACACCACCACATGCAGCTAATCTTTCTATTTTTTGTAGAGATGAGGTTGCTTAGGCTGATGTCAAACTCCTGGCCTCAAGTGATCCTCCCATCTCCGCCTTCCCAAGTGCTAGGATTACAGGCATGAGCCACCTTGCCCAACCTAGAAATAGTTTATTATTTTGCAGTTCTTTTTGTCTTAACATATATCTCACTAGGGACAGATGGTCACAGTACTCTATTTCAAATCACTTGAAATAATTCCTTTCTGTGTGATTAAGCCATTGGCTGAATACATAGTTACTTAAGTATATTTGTTTTCTTTTGCTGTAAATTTTAGGTTGCTTTTTAAATTTTGTTTTATGTTTTATAATTTTGTATGACATGGTTTCACAATCAAATTAACTCAGAGAAGTCTAGCACACATTCTTAGCATTACTACTAACTTAAGATCCTGTCAGAGGGAGCCAGGAAATAGAATGGTATATAATACTAGCTTCACTTTCTTGGACTACACATCAAGGAGCAAATGTTTATCAAACTGTGCTTGTCCTTTTTCATGATTTATGTTCAATTTTTGAATTATACTATTTTTATCCATTGCTTAATTATCATTTCCTCATCAGAATTCAATTTTTTTTTTTTTGAGACAGAGTCTTGCTCTGGTCACCCTGGCGTAGAGTGCAATGGTATGATCATAGCTCACTGCAACCTCAAACTCCTGGGCTCAAGCATTCCTTCTGCCTCAGCCTCCCAAATAGCTTGGACTACAGGTGTTCACTGCTACACCCAGCTAATCTGTTCTATTTTTTGGTAGAGATGGGGATCTCACTATTGTTCAGGTTGGTCTGGAACTCCTGACCTCAAGCGATCCTCTTGCCTCAGCCTCCCAGAGTGTCAGGATTACAGGCGTGAGCCACCACACCCGGCCAGAATTCACTTTTTCTTAACCAGAGCTTGCTCTCACACATTATATATATTGAGATTTATATAAAGAATCATTTCATCACAATACCTGAAAGCAACAAGAATCTGTTCTCCCCAGGATTGAATAGCAAAGAATGTTTGCTAAGTGTTATAAAAAATGTATTCATTTTAGAAAATTTGTCCATGTTTTCCACACTTCAAAAAAACCTAGTTGCTTATCATTCTATCTACAAGATTTTATATCTTGCTCTTTTTGCTTAGTACATATTTTCCCATGGAATTAAAAATTTTGCAAGAACAACATTCAAATTGAGTTAAAATACCTCAAGCAGTGGTCCCCAACCCTTTTGGCACCAGGAACTGGTTTCATGGAAGACAATTTTTTTCACAGACTGGGGGGGGGTGGAGCAGGTGGAGTTCAGGTGGTGATGCAAGCAATGGGGAGTGGCTGGATAGATAAAACTTCACTGGCTTACCCACCACTCCCCTCCTGCTGTGTGGCCTCCTGGTTCCTAAGTTTCATGGAAGACAATTTTTCCACTGATGGGGTAGGGTGGTGGGGAGGTGGTCCCTACCAGCCCACAGAGCAGTACCAGTCCACAGCCTAGGAGTTGGGGGCCGCAGCCTCAGAGGACCCTGGATACGAATTCAGAACATCAGAAAGAGGACTGCTGCTCTCCTCAACATATATACAATTATTTAAGGTACTAGCTGTCTCAAGGATATGATGTGAATATTTGGTTTAAATAGGGACATTATTTAAAATGACAGTTATGTTAAAATATATTTTGGTTTTGTTAATGAACCTGCAAAAGGTTTTTCTTTCCTCCCACGCCCCAGTTGTTCGCTGCACAGAAAGCCAATTACTGAGACAATAAGGATTGTCAAGGAAGAAAGGAAGTTTATTGCAGAGGATGTAAACTGGGAGGTGGGAGGACTGCCTCAAATCCTGCCTTCTTGACTGATGGGGTCAAGGGTTTTTCTAGAGGTGAAATGAATAATGTATGAAATGAGTATCACTGTGTTTGAGGTGGAGTATAAGGCACACAAGAGCAGTGAGAAATCATACTCGCACATATGCCACAGGATAGAAAATGGCAGATAAGTCTCTCCCAGGGTGGAGATTTTAGTAGTATAATGAGCTAGTGGTGTTAATATCAGTCATCCTTTTGATTTTGTGCTCATATGGATGATGGGGAGTAGAAGCTCAGTGGGTCCTTGGGCAAGATTCATGGTACAATGCCTTATCTTGACATCTCTGAACAATTGGGTAGTGTAATGCATTATCTTGCTACTACAAGGAGGGGTCCACTGTTTCTGAGAAACAACTCAAAAGGGAGAAGAGGGGTCAATGAAACAGAAAACTACAAAATTCTGGTTGGCAAATTTTACTGGCCTGGGAACTTGAAACATATGAGAACTGCAAAAAGATGTTTTGTTCACGGACCCGGTCACAGTTTGGCCTTTGTCAAACATAATCTTTTAAAAAGAATTCACCTTGAGAATAGTCTGACAAAGTTTAGCGCTAACTAGATAAATCCTGACATAGTCTTGGTGATTCTAGAGATGAAACAAATGAAACAAGTCTAAGCCCATAAAGTGTCTTATCCTTTATGCCTGAGTATCAGACTGTGTTCATCAGATTTATGTTCCTGCATGAGATAGGAATTTCTTCAAAGATTCAGAGAAGTAAAAACGATGAAAATATAACAAAAAAAAAAGAGAACTAGCTGTTTAAACAACCCATTGCCATGGTTTTTGGAGGGATGGGGAAAATACTGAGGGATTTTAACTGTTTTGCAGGGTCTGTCTGTGTAAGAACAAGAAAATCTGGTTGATGACCGCATTAAGTACTGAAATGACCCTTTGCCACTTTGGCCAGTGATCCTAGGGATATAAACAAGTGGACCACAACTCCAACCCTTGATGAACCTATGCAAACACCAAATTTCCTCCTTCCTTCCTTCTGGATAGGAGGCTGTTTCCTTCCCAAAGCGGTGGACCCCCGAGTCTTAAAGTTTTCTTTATAACTTCCTGGGGTACCAGCTGAACGGAGTCTCACCCGCCCCTCTTACTGGCAGGAAAAAAGAAAGCACCACCTCTACCAGCCTCAGCAGCACGTTGAGGCACCTGGAATCCCCGGATGTGAGAGCTACTGAGAAATACAGAACCGGGGGCCAACCGCCAGGGACTGCCGTAGGTAAGGGGACAGAGAAAGCTAAAGGGGCAGGGTGGGGTTACCCCCACCCCTTTTATTTTTTATCATAAATGGGGGAAGTGGACAGCTTTGGCTTGCAGCGCATGCACAGGGAAAATCTAGAGCCTCTCGTGATTGAGGATCCCACCCGAGAACGTGGACACAAGTGGGGCTGTAGGCCCACGGCCAGCCTTGTACCCGCAGGCCCAACCGGCCACTCCGTAAGGAGGCCAGGGAGCCCGACCACCGCAGCGTCCAACGCGAGCAAGTAGAGAACGCGCAGCCGCAGAAGGGGGAGGGATGGCGCAGGCCTTCTGAGCTCTGATTGGCTGGTGGTGCTCGTTGCTTGGTGCCATTTATTGTTGGAGCGGCGCACCTGACGTAGTCTGCGTCTGGCACGTGCAGCCGTTTAAGCGGCGTCGCCGCTTGCGAGGAGTGGGGGAGAGCAAGCAGCGCAGAGGTGAGTAGGCCAGCGGCCTTTCTCCCGGCCTTGGCCTGGCGGTCTGGGCTTCCCAGTAGCCGGCCTTGGGGCCAAACGAAGAGCAGATGGGGTGGGCAGGGGTTT